TCGCCAGGGGGGGGGGGGGGGGGTGGCGCCAGCCTGTCATCCGGCTCTCGGAGGCTGAGGCAGGAGGATCTCCCGTTTGAACCCAGCCCGAGCAACTTTGTTAGACCTGTCTTTGTTGAAACCTAAGGGCTGCGGGTGGAGCTCTTGCGGAGAACCTGGATCCAGCCCCGGGTATTGGGAAGTTACAACAAATCCAGCCTGGTGGTTTGTCGTGCCAGCGCTGCGGGACGCTGAGGCAGGAGGATCACAAGTTCAGCAACTGAGGATGAAAAAAGGGACGCGTGTGTACCTGGGGTACAGACGCCGGGTTCAGTCCCCGGTAGCACCCCGATAGACACGATGGTGAAGTTTGGGTGCTCGGTGCCTTGGGTGTCCACAGCAGCGCTCCTGGGCAAAGTGATCCTCGGCCCGGGTCCTTTGGCTTCCTAGGGCGGGGTCTCACTGTGTAGCCGGGGCTGTCGGGGAGATCCTCCCGCCTCAGCCTCCCGGGCTCGCTCACCCCTTTGCTGACCCCCCTCTTCCCGGGGTCCCCGCAGGTCCAGCACGCCAGCAAGCAGATCGCGGCCGAGAAGCAGTACAAGGGCATCGTGGACTGCATCGTGCGCATCCCCAAGGAGCAGGGCGTGCTGTCCTTCTGGCGGGGGAACCTGGCCAACGTCATCCGCTACTTCCCCACGCAAGCCCTGAACTTCGCCTTCAAGGATAAGTACAAGCAGATCTTCCTGGGAGGCGTGGACAAGCACACGCAGTTCTGGAGGTACTTCGCCGGCAACCTGGCCTCGGGGGGCGCGGCCGGTGCCACCTCCCTGTGCTTCGTGTACCCGCTGGATTTCGCCCGGACCCGCCTCGCCGCCGACGTGGGCAAGTCGGGCGCCGAGCGTGAGTTCAAGGGCCTGGGCGACTGCCTGGTGAAGATCACCAGGTCGGACGGCGTCCGCGGGCTCTACCAGGGCTTCAACGTGTCGGTGCAGGGCATCATCATCTACCGCGCCGCCTACTTCGGCATCTACGACACGGCCAAGGGTGAGTACGGCCTCTCTACGCCCCGGCCTCCGCGCCTGTGCCTCTCAGGACGGCGGCCTGCCCCGCCCGTGGGAGGCTGAGGCGGGAGCATCTCTGGGAGAAGCAGGCCAGCCTGAAACGTAGCAAGACTCTCTCCTGAGGTAGAAACAGAAAACAAATCACCCGCCGTAGTCCGTGGTCCCAGATTCTGGGTGGGCGGGGCTCCCGC